TTTGAGTTGACTGCCAACTTGACGCCACGCTATTTTACTGATGCTTCTTGCTCCATGCCAACAGCTCGCTGCACTCTCGCCCTTCAAGATTGTCACACTGGACGCCGGTGACGAGGCTACTGTGCTCGACACGGCTCGCCAGTTGGATGGGGTACCTATCCACCTGCTCATCAACAACGCCGGCATTGGTGTCTACTCGACTTTCGAGACCGCTACGAAAGCTGACATCATGAAGGTGTTTGAGGTCAACGCGGTCGGACCGTTCCTCGTCACTCGCGCGCTGCTGCCGAATCTAAAACTCGCGACCGACACACAGACTCCCGCCATCGTCCTGCAGATCACCTCCATCATGGAAAGCATCGCATGCAACAACGACGAACACGCGCAACTGTTCCGTGGTCAGTACGGCTACACCACGTCCAAGGCCGCACTCAACATGATCACCCGCTCGCTGGCCATGGACCTGCGCGAGCATGGCGTCGCAGTCGTGACCATGAACCCCGGGTACGTGGACACGGACATGACCCACCACCAAGGTGTTATAAAGCCCGCCGACACAGTGGCGGTAATGACCGGCATTGTGACCAAGCTGACACTTGAGGATACGAGCAAGTTCTTCAATGCGGACCCCGCCGCGTCATCGCTGGAGCTGCCGTGGTAAGCTGGAACTCCGTTCTCGGAGCCCTTCACACTTCGTGATACTTGAGTTTCGTTTAGATTTACTCTGAAAGCCAATCCTTAAAATAACACATCGAAGTTTCTCCTCTCCTAGCTTTCATGAAGTAGTTAGCATTTGAAGTGGACATCTTACGTTCATTCTGCACGAGGATTTTCATACAAATTGCAAGGTTTGCACGACGTTTTCCGTATAAGTTGTGTATAGAGCGTTTTCTTTTTTTTTTTAAAGAAAGATGATTGTTAACGGATTTTACCATAAGGCTCATGATGAGCCCGGGAACGTGGACACGGACATGACCCCCACCTGGGTGTGCCGAAACCCGCTGATCGAGGATACGAGCAAGTTCTTTAATGCACACCCCGCCGCTCCTGTTCCCTGTGAAAACACTGAAGAGGTTGGTGGCGGATCTGTGGACAGTAAAAGCTTTGCTGAAAAGTTTGCCGTTCGTTGGTGGCAGCATAATCTCCGTTCATACAGAAAGATGGTCGGCCTACTGAAGAAAAGAATATCGATACGAGGGCAGGGAA